TCAAAATAATAAGAGCCATAGATGACAAACCCACAGTCAGTATCATACTTAATGGTCAAAAGGTGGAAGGAATCCCTTTAAACACTGGCACAGGACAAGGATGTCCTCTCTCACCATTCCTATTCAACATAGTATTGGAAGTTTTGGCCAGGGCAATCAGACAAGAGAAACACAGAAAGGTTATTTAAGTAGAAGAGAGGAAGTCAAATTATCTTTGTTTGCAGATGACATGATCATATATCTAGAAAACCCCATTGGCTCAGCCCAAAAGCTTCTTAAGCTAATAAGGAACTTTAGCAATTTCAGGATACAAAGTCAGTGTGCAAAAATCACAAGCATTCCTATATACCAAGAACAGACAAGCAGACAGCCAAATCATGAATGAACTCCCATTGACAATGCCCACAAACAAAATAAAATACCTAGGAATAAAGCTAACAGGGGAAGTGAAGGACCTCTTCAAGGAGAGCTACAAACCACTGCTCAAGGAAATCGGAGAGGACACAAACAAATGGGAAAACATTCCATGCTCATGGACAGGAAGAATCAATATTGTGAACATGACCATACTGCCCAAACTAATTTATAGATTCAATGGTATTCCTATTAAATTGCTATTGATATTTTTCACAGAAATAAAAAAAAATATGTTAAATTTCATACAGAACCAAAAAAGAGTCCTAATAGCCAAGACGATCCTAAGCAACAAGAGCAAAGCTGGAGGCATCAGGCTACCTGACTTCAAACTATCCTAGAAGGCTATGGTAACCAAGACAGCATGGTACTGGTACGAAAATGACACAGACCAATGGAACAGAATAGAGAACTGAGAAATTGACTGCTCACCTACAACTCTCTGATCTTTGACAAACCTGACAAAAACAAGCAATGAAGAAATAATTCTCTACTTAACAAATGGTACTGGGAAAACTGGCTGGCCATATGCAGAAAACTGAAACCGGTTCCTCTCCTTACACTTTATACAAAAAATTACTCAAGATGGATTAAAGGCTTAAATGTAAAATCCAAAACTATAAAAAAGCAGAAGAAAATCTAGGCAATACCATTCAGGACATAGACACGGGCAAAGATTTTATCACAAAAACGCCAAAAACCATTGCAACAAAAGTGAAAATTGACAAATGGGATCTAATTAAACTAAAGAGCTTCTGCACAGAAAAAACAAAACAAAACAAAACAAAAACAAAAACCTATCATCAGAGTGAACAGATAACCTCCAGAATGGGAGAAAAATTTTGCAATCTATTCATTTGACAAAGGTCTGATATCCAGAGTCTACAAGGAATTAAAACAAATTTACAAGAACAAAAACAAACAGCCCCATTAAAACCATCATTGATCATTAGAGAAATGCAAATCAAAACTATAATGAAGACTGGACGAAGTGGTTCATGCCTGTGATCCCAGCATTTTTGGAGGCCAAGGCAAGCATATCACTTGAGACTAGGAGTTCAAGACCAGCCTGGCCAACATGGTGAAACTCCATCTCTACTAACAATAAAAAAAATAGCCAGGCATGGTGGCACACACCTGTAGTCCTAGCTTCTTGGGAGGCTGAGGCAGGAGAATTGCTTGAACCCAGGAGGCGAAGGTTGCAGTGAACTGAGATCATACCACTGCACTCCAGCCTGGACAACAGAGCAAGACTCCATATCAAAAAAAAAAAAAAAACTATAAAGAGATACCATCGCATGCCAGTTAGAATGTCAATTATTAAAAAGTCAAGAAACAATAGATACTGGCAAGGTTGCAGAGAAATCGGAATGCTTTTACACTGTTGGTTCAAATGTAAATTAGTTCAACCATTGTGAAAGACAGTGTGGCGATTCCTCAAAGATCTAGAATCAGAAATACCATTTGACTCAGCAATCCTATTACTGGGCATATACCCACAGGAATATACTTCATTCTATTATAAAGATACCATGCACGTGTATGTTCATTGCAGCACTACTCACAACAGCTAAGACATGGAATCAACCTAAATGCCCATCAATGATAGACTAGATAAAGAAAATGTGGTACATATACAACATGGAATACTATGCAGCAATAAAAAGATTGAGATCACATCTTTTTGCAGGGAGACGGATGGAGCTGGGAACCATTATCCTCAGCAAACTAATGTAGGACCAGAAAACCCAACACCACATGTTCTCACTTATAAGTGGGAGATGAACTATGAGAACACACAGATGGGGAAGTGGGGGTGGGGTGGTGGGGGACAACACAGTGTGGCCTGTCAGGGACCTGTGGGGAGGGAGAACATCAGGAAAAGTAGCTAATGCATGTTAAGCTTAATACCTAGGTGATGGGTTGATCTGTGCAGCAAAATCAGCATGGCACACATTTACCTATATAACAAACCTGCACACCCTTCACATGTACCCCTGAACTTAAAATAAAAGCTGAAGAAAAAACAAGTTTTTTTGTAGAGATGGGATCTTCCTATATTGCCCAGGCTGGTCTCCAACTCCTGTGCTCAAACGATCCTCCTGCTTTGGCCTCCCAAAGTGCTGGGATTTCAGGCATGAACCACTGCTCCTGACTCCCTATCAACTAATTCTTAACTTAAAATTTATTTTTATTTTTTGTTTTCTTTTAGAGACAGGGTCTCATTCTGTCACCTAGGTTGGAATGCAGTGGCGTGATCATAGCTCATTGAGGCCTCAAACTCCTGGGCTCAAGCAGTTTTCCTGTCTTAGCTTCCTGAGTATCTGAGGCTACAGGTGTGCACCATCACGCCTGGCTAACTTTAATATAGTAGAGTCTTACTACATTGCCCAGGCTGGTCTTGAACTCCTGGCCTCAGGCGATTCTCCCACCTCACTCTTCCAAAGTGCTGGGATTACAGATGTGAGCCACCACTGCCCAGCCTCATTCTTAACTTTATGCAGGACATCAAATCCTTAATCATACATACTGCATCAAATCAATTCAATTGTCATCGGAATGCATGCCGCCTCCATATCATTTCTTAACAAGGAAGCTTCAAGAAACCAGCAATCTCTTCTTATCCTGGGCCCATTAATCATGGGGGCTTGGGAGTTCTAGCCTGAAATTATTTGGCATCTGGTTCTTTCTTCAGGTCCAGCTCACCTGATATCTCTAGTAATTTCCTTAACTAAAATATCCTGATGGACTAATGAGTATCTTCTCATAATTCCATACAACTGTGGTTTCATGCATGTGATATTCTTAATTGTTGGGTAGGTTGTGATACTGCTATGGCTGTCAAAAACTTTAATATAGTCAAGCAACTTGTAGCTGAGCTTTGATTGCTGCTATGTACTACCATTATTAACCACAAGGTGTTATTTAGTCAATGCTTGATGGACATGAGAATTTTTATATGTAAAAGCTCACCCCATACATACACACAAAAACATGTACAGGTGAAATAAACTAAATGACATAAATTAATAAATGTATGTTTAATTCCCCAAGTCCATTTTCTTCTTCTTTTTATATGTTTTTTCTTTTTTTTAATTTGTTAACTCCCTAAAGCAAGATAGTATCTATAAACAAACTAGGCTGCAAGGCTTTTATGAAATTTACTCATAATACACATAATTTAAATATTTCCCCCCAATTTTTTCCTTAAAGCTTATTTAGCCTATTTCTCAATTAAAGACAACTTCAAAATATATATTTTCCTCAAAGGATTCTAGCTTAACGGCCTAAGTTTTTTGTTTTGTTTTTTCCCAATTCCTATTATGCAGTTCTGCCATTCTACCCAAAATTTGACATTGTTTTCAAAGATTTGACTTTGTTTTTAAATGTAGCTTTATTCAAAGCAATGCACTGAAAATGTCTAGATGGGCTCTTTGCAGCTCCATAAACACTTACACTTGGTCCTGATCTTTTTATTAACTTTACATATGCAAGTATCCAAACTGCAGTGACAATTCCCTCTAGATCATAAAAGTATGGAAGAAACAGCCATCAAGCACACTATATATGTATCTTATTACTCCTTGTTCAATTCACCCCCTTTGACCTCATTTCTTTGACTCTCTTCGTTCTTTTGTCTCCAGCCATTCTCAAATGTGCTAGGCTTGCTTCACCTCAGAGCATTTGCACATGCCATTCTCTCTGCTTCAAGTATTTTCCCCCTTGAATTCTGCATGGGGAATTTGCTCTTCATATTCTTTGGCTTTTCCCTCAAATACAACCTTCTTACTTACCAACCTTCCCTGACCAAATTATTTAAAACTGAGTTCACAACAGTCTTATTGGTCCCCTTTGCTTCCTTTATTTTCTTCCTAGCACTTTCCACTTTGACACACCATATATTTTGTTTATTGTCTGGTTCTCCCGCTGAAATGTAAGCATCATGACAAGAGGGTTTTTCTCTTGTGCCTTTATTTTTTTCACTGTTCTAACAGCACTGCCCAGAGGAGTGACTGTCATAGAGAGGACACTCATTTAACACTTGAATGAATGAATGAATGAATGAATGAGACACAGGATCTGGGGAACAAAGCAAGTTAGAAACACCACTCTACCTCACCTAGAGTACCACTCCCATTTTCCTAGGGCTCATGATCTGTCTCCTCAAATTGCTCATTATGTGGAATGATGACAAACTTATACGGGCCCTTCGCTCCAGAATCCCACAAATGAGCATAATTTTTTTTTTCTTCTGATGCAGGTGTTTTGGAACACACTTTACAGTGACCAAATAACATTCGTGAAGTGTCAGGGTGTAGAAGCAAACACAAAGTCTTCACTAAGTGGCCCTCTTTTTGAATGTTAACAGGGTCTGGTCCCAGGGATTTCTGTGTTCAAAGCCTTTCAGGGCAAGGCAGTTTGCTGTGGAGTACACTGTCCTATATACCTAATGGGCTACTAGGTTTCAGCTGGACAAAGTCCTTATAGAGCCGTGATTCTCAAGGGGTAGGGGGAGATACTTTTATTTGTCATAACTAGAGTGGAGAGAGGGTGGTGTGCTACTGGCACTTAGTTGCTAGGGGTGCTCAATATCCTACAATTAGGGTTATTTTTACGAAGTAAAACTATAGGTAGGTAAGGTAGCCAGATGAAATACAGGGATTTCCAGTTAAATGTGAATCTTAGATGAACAACACTGTTACCTGAAACTCAAATTTAACTGTATTTTATCCGTGACCCTGCCTCCTGTAATGCACAGGACAGCCTCCTTCCCTCTCAACAAAGAATTATCCAGGCCCAAAATGTCAAGAGTGGAGGCTGAGAAACCCTGCCATACAGCAGTGGTTCTCAAGCCCTAGTTTGTACCACAATTACCTTCAGGGTTGGTAAGCCCGATTACTGGGCACACCCTCAGAGTTTCTGATTCAGTAGGCCTGGAGTGGGGCCCCAAGAGTTGCATTTCCATCAATTTCCCAGGTGAAGCTGCTGTTAGATTGGGGCCACATTTGAGAACCACTACCCTAGAAAGTCCCCATGCTCTCCTGATTAGAAGCGAGGAAAGTTTCCAAGGGAGGACGGGGGTGGGAGGATAAGGGAGAGGCGGGAAGAGCCAGCCCGCTGGGGTGGGAGACGTTATTTCGGCCGTTCTGGCCTCGCAGGCGTTTTCGGGATCCCTCTAGGCGCCGCGGAGGTCCCGGAGTCTCGATGGTCGCTCGGGCCGGGGCGTGGCCTGGTTCGGGGGCGTGGCGTGGAAGGCGGGCCGAGGTGCGGCGAGCGCTCTCGTGCCGGACGTTGCGCGGCCGCGACGCCCGACGCCCGACGCCAACGCAGGCGCAGCGCTCCGGTTCGGGCTCGGGAGGCTCCGTCTGGGCCAGGGCAGGTAGGAATGATTGTGCTCGCGCCACAGGCAGGGCTTAGCTTGAGTGCAGGAGCGGTTGGCCTTGATGTTGCGTTTTCTCAACGGCGTCCGAGGAGTTCGTCCTCACTGCTCCGCGTCCACGGTGGGCTGGCGGGACCAGGACAGGAACAATGGGATTCCGAGGGCCGCAAGGGGGCGCTCCCTCTGCGGGTTGGGGTGCGAGGCCGGAGGCCGGGCCCTGCTGAGCGGGAGGCGGAGCAGGAGGCGGAGCGGGGTGGGTGGGGACCAGGGCGGGGTCGGGCTAAAGAGGGATGGATTCAGGGCGCGGTGGGAGGGACCAGGTCAGGCTCGGGCGGGGTGGGCGGGACTAATGGGGCGGGCGGCCTGAGGCTGGCGGCCGAGCTGTGAACGCCGCGTCAGGTCCCGGGGCGGGGCGGCTCCGCGCCGGGGCGCGCTGGGGGCGGGTCGTTCTTAACTTTGCGTCCGCTTGGGAAGCCGCTGAGGTTTCTGAGGGTCTTTGTTTGCCCTTCTTTCTCTTTTGCTATTGAGATGGAGAAGGGAGGAAGTTCCTCCGTATCCCGCAAAAGCCCTTCTGAGCTGTCAGGCTCCTGGCTGAGCTTTGGGGTGCTGATCTATAAAATGTCTTTTGAATAATGTTTATCTTGAATTAATTTCAGAATTTCAGAGTGTTACAAAACAAACAAAAATTCCCATGTACGGTTCGCCCAGATTTCCTAGGGGTTAACATCTTATTTTACAGAACAGTCAACAAAACCAAGATATTAACACCTGCAGGCCTTATTCAAATTTCTCTACTCTCGCCTATTTCCGTTTTGTAATTTAGGCGCCAAGACAGCATTGGGTTGTCCTGTCTTTCCTTGGAGAAATTTACATTTTAAACAGCAGCTCTCCCGCCTCCCAACCCCCTAGGGCCCTTTAGAGTGGCCTGGGGAGCTCCAGGTCTCACACCAAGGTGCTTTTTCTTGCCCAGTGCCTGGACCAGTTTAGTTGAGAATGCCCAGTTGGACCTCTGGGCAGCTCGTGACCACCTCCTCCTCCCAGTGCTGCTCGTTCCTCCTCCCAGTGCTGCTGGGCTTGGTGAGTGGCACCTCTGTGTACCAGCCATAGGGTGCCAGAATCTAGGAGGCTTCCCTGATCAGCTTTCTCCCCTGCCCTACCCCTTCAACCAATTATCCAGACTTGATGGTTTCACATTTTGAGTCCTCCTTAGGTGTGTCCATTTCTCTCCATAGGCCCCACCCTTTTGCCGTAGCCTTTTTGTCCATCTCCCTTCATCAGCGTTGGGGCCCTGCATACTCAGTTGTCCATACTGCAGCCAGAATAAGCTTGTTAACATACACCCTTCATTCTGTTATGCTCTGCCTGTAATTTTTTTTTTTTTTTTTTTTTTAACTTCCCACTGCTCTGATAAAGACAGGCCTCCTTAACAGGGCCTTCAAGTCTCTGCAGGGCTGGTCCAGCCTCTTGTACCGTCTCGCACAGATTCCCTACCCTGGCCGGACTGCTTTGCTTCTCCTGTGCTGTACCTTTTGCCTGGGGTGCTATTCGCTGCCTGCTGAGGTAGTTGTTACTCTTTCTGCAGGTCTCCATTAGGTTATCTTTTCCTCAGGGAGGTATTCTCTGACCTCCCTGACTAGGTCAGTTTCCGTTTTATGGGTTCTGATCAACACCTCCTTTCCTTCTTAGCCCTGTCATAGTTACAATTTTATGCATACATGCCTGGCACCCAGTATATACTTCAGATGTTTGCCAAAGGAATGAAAAGGTGATAGTGTGGCTGCCTAACAGCCTCTGTCTAGACATTATTCCCTTTGTGAGTTTGCTTGATATGTGGGGGCACTGGCTACCGATGTCCCCTTCCTCTGTTGGTCGTCTCAGGCAGGGCAAGAAAGATGTAGGAGCCACATGTGAGGGGATGGAGGGCCTGGGGAGCACAGTCTGCAGACTCTTGGGAGCACAGTCTGCAGACTCCTGAAAGGTAGAATGGGGGAGCACAGTCTGCAGACTCCTGAAAGGTAGAATGGGGAGCACAGCTCCTGCAGTGACTCCTGAAAGGTAGAATGGGGAGCACAGTCTGCAGACTTCTGGAAAGATAGAATTGGGAGCACAGTCTGCAGACTCCCTGAAAGGTAGAATGGGGGAGCACAGTCTGCAGACTTCTGAAAGATAGAATTGGGGAGCACAGTCTGCAGACTCCTGAAAGGTAGAATGGGTTTTTGCTGAGCTTCTTACCTATGTATCCACCTCTGTCCTGGTTGAGTCCACTGTAATTATTAGACTCTACACTGACATATTTGCTATGCATGGTTTCAGAGACTCTTTCAGGAGCATATTTTAGTTAGGGTCAAGCATATATCAAGAGCTTCTGGTTCTTTTCTAAATAGTTGTCTCAAAGCCAGATAGTAAAGATGAAAATGAAGTCTGCGGCAGGTTGAGATGGATGGGGTGCCCTGGAATGTGGCCATTTGGCTCTGTGGCATGATTAGTTTGGTTCAGCGAGTATTTATTGAGGGCCTGCTGCATGCCAGATGCCATGTTGCCTTCTTGGGATACAGAGGTGGGGTCGACCTGAAGATGGATTATTAATTTCAGTCTATTGTGGTGAAAGCTGTGATAAGAGAAGACTTGATTGGAAGCCTGATGGATGAGAAGGACATTGCAGGGGATCCCATAGGCAGGGAATAGCACCACAGGCAAAAGGCACAGCACAGAAGAAGAAAGCAGTCAGGCCAGAGTAGGGAACCTGAGGAAGACAGGATACAAGAAGAGACTGGACTAGCCCTCGGGAGTGGTCTGAACCTACAGGCGGAACTGGGTGGAGATAAGGCTAGGGACCGGGCTGTGAATGACTTTGATTTTATTTCAGAGCTTTGTTGGATTGTGACCCAGGGCAAGCTCTTGGTAGGCTGTGAAGATGGGCTCATGCCCTAATGGCTGGAGGCTGTCAGTCTATATGTAAGCAAGTGGATGGGGCCGGCCTAAGGCACAGTGGAGGAAAAGGTGGTAAACTGCTGAGAGGTGCAGCAACTGTGAAATGGTAACACAAGTCAGGCTTCCTGACCCAAACCTGGCTGGACCTGGGGAAGAAGTCAGACTGTTTGAGTTTTATCAGTCATACTGATGCATCCCTTAATGAAACATAATTTCTGCAGCAAAATGTGTGGATATTTATAGTAACAGAATTCGACATTATGAAGAGCCTCAGGTCAGTCCAGGTTTTGCTGCCAAAGAGTTTGTTGCAAAGTTTTGAAAGAAAGTTAAGTTTTTAAAGCATATTTGGCTTTTGGAATTGCAGGTGAGGGGTTGTGGACCTGAAATTATAGTTAACACTTGGGAAGCCAGACCTATTATGTCTGCTTTACACACATTGACTCTTACTACTTTCACAATGCAATGAAAGTAGGTACCACGATGATCCCATTTTACAGGTGAAACGCGAGGGCACCAAGAAGTCTCTTTGCTAAGTGACTTTCCAAAATCACACAGCTCGTCACTGGTGGCTCCATATTACACATTTTTCCTGGGCTACAGACTTGTGAAAGGGGGTCGGGAGAGATTGAGGGACTGAGATCTTTCTTTCGCACCTCACACACCTGGCATCTGCCTGCAGCAAGCCTGCCTTAGTGCCAAGAAGGTCAGAGCAGAAGGGGAGCTGGAGCCCCACAGACATCACAGTCACACACTTGGATTTACTGGAGGCCCATGGGGATTCATGTCCGTGATTACTGGAGCTTATGATCTAATCAGGTGATGAGCTTTTCTCACAAGCCATAGAGGAATTTAAGTGTGATGTTATGTGGACCAGAGATGGTCAGAGGCCCTGTGTATGGATAAGTTGGGATGTGGGCTGGTTGGGCTTTGAAGAAATTCAGGTAAACAATTTTATAAGGATTTTATAAAGAGATTCTTCATAAGGAACACAGACTGTTACATGGGGAGGTGACCTAATTTTCTTCTAGCCGTGCCAGATGTGTGTGTTCTGGAACATCACAGATGAACATCTTTTGCTTGCGACTCCCTCATCACTGCAGAGCAGCATTCCCATTAGGCACTGACTGGGTCAGCTGGAGAGTGTTTGTTCAGGTGTTTCTTTGCAAGTGCCCCCGTGCCTGTGTGTGTTTGTGTGAGTGTGTAAAATATACATACCAAAATATATAAAATGCACAGGAACAGTTTAAAGAATAATGAACAACTCTGAATATCCTACTCAGTTTAAGAAATTGAACCTTGGCTGGGCTCGGTGGCTCACGCCTGTAATCCCAGCACTTTGGGAGGCCGAGACGGGTGGATCACGAGGTCAGGAGATCGGGACCATCCTGGCTAACACAGTGAAACCCCCCCGTCTCTACTAAAAAATACAAAAAACTAGCCGGGCGAGGTGGGGGCGCCTGTAGTCCCACCTGCTTGGGAGGCTGAGGCAGGAGAGTGGCGTGAACCCGGGAGGCGGAGCTTGCAGTGTACGAGATCCGGCCACTGCACTCCAGCCTGGGCGACAGAGCGAGACTCCGTCTCAAAAAAAAAAAAAAAAGAAATTGAACCTTATGAAAACTTTATTTTTTATTTCCATAAGTTTTTGGGGAAACAGGTGGTATTTGATTACATGATTTATTTTTATTTTTTTTTGAGACGGAGTCTCGCTCTATCCCCCAGGCTGGAGTGAGCGGCGCCATCTTGGTTCAGTGCAAGCTCCGCCTCCCGGGTTCCCGCCATTCTCCTGCCTCAGCCTCCCGAGTAGCTGGGACCACAGGCGCCCGCCACCTCGCCCGGCTAATTTTTCGTATTTTTAGTAGAGATCCGTGTTAGCCAGGATGGTCTAGATCTGACCTCATGATCCGCCCGCCTCGACCTCCCAAAGTGCGGGATTACAGGCGTGAGCCACCGCGCCCGGCCATGAGTAAGTTTTTTAGTTGTGATTTGTGAGATTTTGGTGCACTCATCACCCAAGCGGTATATACTGAACCCAACTTATAGCCACGCGCTTCTCATCCTTTCCCCTGGAG